TCGTCAACTGAAAGTGCTCTGGTTCCATTGTATACTAGAGACTTGAAGTATTTCTAGTACGTTAACGTAAACGTGAACGTCAACACACAAAAATAATGGTTACGGTCTAGTCCAAAATAAGAGTTGAAGTTGTTAAACGCGTCGTGACATTTACGTGTCATGACAAATAATGACAATTATTATTAGGATTTCTTCTTTCCTAATTAAAAAGAGGTTATTTTATTTTCGTTACGTGCATACGCCAGAGCCCGCAAGCTTACGTATGTACGAAGACGTGAACGTGAAGGATATTTGAATGCGCATGCGTAGATGTCAATTTTCACGTATTCGTTTACGTTCATAGCATCACTTCAACTCTCTAAACAAATTGTTCATTCAGGGCGTTCACAAAAGGCCTTATTTTATAAATTTTGTCCTTATTATCAACAGGAATGGATGCATTTTAATTCACATGAAGATATTGTAAAAACTGCTCAAAACGTGTTCTCGGCATTGTTCGTTTTACAACTAAAAGTCCTAGATCTTCAGAACAAGACCAATAATTTTTGTAGTAGCTTGTCAGCTTGTGAAATCCCATAAAAAAGTTAATGAAATTCATATTTTTTTCTTGTTGAGTTGCGTACAAATTTGACTGATACAAAATGTCTTTTATGGTGTTGGGTCCCAAAACTTTCAAAAAAAAAAAATCAGTATATGTGTTGCAGTCGACAAAAAGATCTTCTTTCGGGTTTTCGTCACCGCCGTACTCAGGAATATTTTTGACGCTTTCCTTTTTTTCCACTGTTTCCTACAGAGATTTGAGGTACTTGTTCTTTATTTTGTGGTTCGGGCTGAAAATCTACTGCTTCCTCTAATTCTTCCTCCACTGCTTTCTCTACTTCTTCCTTCACTGCCTCGTCTAATTCCTCTTACTGCTTCCTATACATCATCCACTAAGAACATGCTTGTCTTTTCGACCTCAAAGACTTTACCTTCCTCATTTTCGCTGTCTTCTTCGTCTGTAATAATGTCATTATCAAGAGGCAGATTTTCTATTTCAAACGCAGCTGCTTCAGCAGCGGCTAGAAGGTTTTCGTCATTTACAATTTTTCTAAATCTCCAGTCAGACATCTGTAATCAGATAAACAAATACCTAAAATAGATTCACCCAAAAGTAATGAATATATGTATAACAGTTACCTTATTAATATGCGACTATTCTCTAGCGGGACTTAGGAGTCCTGGATGAAAATAGCTACCCTATGGAACGCCTATGTACGTTAGTGAACAAACAAATCGTTGTTTAGTTACATAAAACCACAATAATTAATAGTATATTATGCAACGATCATGTAATGATGGTTATTAATACACGAGCATTAACCGGGATACGAAACGAGCCAAAGGCGAGTTTCGTATGGTTTATGCGAGTGTTCTAATAACCATTACATGAGAGTTGCATACGCTATTTTTTCTACACCCGATAAATAATCAAGACCTATAAATATTCTATTTATATTGGCATTGAACACAATAACAGTAATTACTCGTATTTCTATAAAAATTCTACAAAATTGTAATTAATGGTATTACCTTGGGTATTGGTATTACCACAGATTTTTGGGGCAAAATATTTTGTACTGCATTTTCTCCTTTCTCCGATATGTGTGGAGGAGTCTTCTATATCGCTGATATCAGACATTTTAATATTATAATTATCGAAGTTTAGCTATCTACGAAAATTTAATACGTTTTGACAACTAAAACAATTACATAGGAATTTAGGACAAACGTCAAACATCATGCTTGATTGAAAAATTGTAGGTTTCTATTGATTAAAAATCTGTATCATAATGAAAATCTGTATCATAATGGGTATCATTATGAAACGGATTATGGGCATATAAGTGCATTATTATAATACGGGTGTAGAAAATAGTATATTATGCAACGATCATGTAATGATGGTTATTAATACACGAGCATTAACCGGGATACGAAACGAGCCAAAGGCGAGTTTCGTATGGTTTATGCGAGTGTTTTAATAACCATTACATGAGAGTTGCATACGCTATTTTTTCTACACCCGATAAATAATCAAGACCTATAAATATTCTATTTATATTGGCATTGAACACAATAACAGTAATTACTCGTATTTCTATAAAAAATTCTACAAAATTGTAATTAATGGTATTACCTTGGGTATTGGTATTACCACAGATTTTTGGGGCTAAATATTTTGTACTGCATTTTCTCCTTTCTCCGATATGTGTGGAGGAGTCTTCTATATCGCTGATATCAGACATTTTAATATTATAATTATCGAAGTTTAGCTATCTACGAAAATTTAATACGTTTTGACAACTAAAACAATTACATAGGAATTTAGGACAAACGTCAAATATCATGCTTGATTGAAAAATTGTAGGTTTCTATTGATTAAAAATCTGTATCATAATGAAAAATCTGTATCATAATGGGTATCATTATGAAACGGATTATGGGCATATAAGTGCATTATTATAATACGGGTGTAGAAAAAATTTTAAACAAACCCGAACTTACTAAGACTTTTGTTTTATGTTATTAATAAAAAAACTCGCACTACACATTCACGACTCGACTGCCATAACACACTAACGGCTGTGTTTACATATTCAAACTGTCCGTAATAATAATGTATTGTTGGTCACATACATACCTTATAAAATGTGTACTTCAGAGTTCCGTCAGGACAACAGCGTCATAGCGAGCATATCATAATTTACTGAGAGGTTAAAAGTCAGGACACAAAGGGTTAAAGTTCACTGGCGTAGCCATCATAGGGCAGTTCGGTGCGAAGCACCGGGGCACCGGAGATATTTGGGTCCCCGCAGGGCCTCCTCTGATAATTGGAATTATTTTACAACATTCGAATTCATATTTATTTAAAAAAATTATGTTTTTAAATGTCCAAAAATGTGTTTCATATAATTGCATGTGTTCAGACGTGAAGAGACCGTTCTTGGTCTTTTTTGCCGTCGCGTCTGCTGTCGTATGTCGTCTGGCGCGCGTTTCGAAATGGTACCTTAAGCATAGAAGATATGGGAGACCAGGCTGTGCAGGTTAACGTAGAGGGGGTTATTCTGAATAGTTGAGTAGATCTGATTCCACATATCGGAACATTAAAATTAATTCAATTTAGAATATAAGGATCATAAATATCTCCATTAATTACTTTGCGTAAAAATGATAATAAATTTATATTTCTTCGATAGATGATTAATCTTAAATAAATTTCTTAAATCGGTAGTTTTGTTACTGTATTGTTAATGTAATAAAATCCTTCTCATTAATTTTTAAACAACTTTTAAAAATGTCCTATCATCATGTAATCTATTTTGTCCCGCTCGATAAGTCAAAAACAAAAAATTAGATCAACTTGAAATTTTCAGGAAAATTAATGTCTAAAACGGGACGAAGTCCATTGATTTAAAAAAAAATCGAAATAAAAATCGGGGTGAAGCGGGGGGGTTGAAATATGCAAAAACCTAACTCAAAAACGAAAAACGATATCAACTTCAAATATTCAGAAAAATCAAGCGCTCTAAAGGTAACATTTGGGAAGGCGAGACCGAGTAAGACGACAAGCGACAGGCAGTAAGCAGAAAATACTGCCTTGTTGTGCTATCCCAAATGTTTTTCATATAATTACATATGTTGAGATGTGAAGAAACCATTTTCGGTCTTCTTCGATGTTGTTTAACGTCTCGCCTTCCCAAATGGTACCTCAAGAGGATGAAGCCTATTGATTTAGAAAAAAAAATTAAAACAATGGAGGGAATAAGGGGTTGAAATATAACAAAAAAACCTTAAACAAAAACGAAAAACCATATCAACTTTAAAGTTTCAGGAAAATCAATATGGGGTCGAAGCTTATGAATAAAAATGGGAGTTAAGAAGGGATGAAATTAAACAAAAAATCATAAATAAAAAACGAAAAACGATATCAACAAGAAATTTTAGTAGAAATCAAGCTCTATGGAAGGATGAAGACTATCAATTCTAAAAATAATCTGATTAAAAATGGGGGTGTCAAAAGTATGTTGAAATTAAAAAAAAACAAATTAAAAACGAAGAGTGATATCAACATGAAATTTTTAGCAAAAATCAAGCTCTTTAAGGCGATGAAGCCTATCGATTATGAAAACAATCATTTTTTTTTCGTATTTTTTATTTCATGTTTCTTTAAAATATATAATAAAATATACATATATTATTTATGTGCATTTTTAACCCAGAGTGTCTAGTTACGCTACTGATGAAGCCTATTGATCCTGAAAAAAATCTAACAGAAAATGGGGGTTAAGCAGACCCCCCCATAAACTGTAAAGAGTATAACATAGAATGCCAAGCATTATATATTTTCATTCTAGTTGTTCGTTTTAAATTAGTTTTTTTTTGTATATAAGGTATGTAAAACCACTGATTCCTATTCCATTCTCCTTGTTGATGTAATTTTTTGAACGAATGAACAACAATAAATTTATTATTACATTATTATCTCCTGGTCTAGTTGAAACATCTAGAATATTTATGAACCAATATATTACCCGTCAAAATATGAAAATTTTCCCTATTTAACCGGCATTGTATATACGTCAATTAAATGCGACTCACCCTGTATACCTAATTTATAACTATCCAAAATAATTAACAACCATGATAAAATATTTAAATTTAATTATCAATATTTTCAAAATAATACTAAAAAAATAAGCACCAAATATGTTTCTAAAAATAAACATAGCGATAAAGTTGTAAAATCGAGACTTTGATAAATTTTTATCTAACCTTTAATTCATGGACTTTTTTGGTCAAAACCAAATTTCAACTGTAAACAATAATTGTTATGTAAGCTGTTAAATTGTTTACAATTAACAAACGAAAATTTGGATATTTTAATATTTGAGGCTTTTCTTATTTTAAAAAATTGTGAAAGTAGGGTAAGAAAATTATTGAACTAATAAAAAACTCACCTTGAAAAGATAAGGTAAAAACGAATGGGCCTTCCTAACTAATCTCTTATCATTTAAAACGTGATGCATATTGTCTAAATATTTTTCTACTGGAACTAGATTGTAAGGGGATATTTCTCCAAATTGCTTCTCCCAAAGATTCTAAAAAATAAGGTTAATTAGTCAACTACCAACAAAGAACAAAAATTGCACAAAAAATCATACATTGAATACAAAATTTCGGTATTTTTTAAAAATGTACACTTATTAAAATCGTTTAACCAATCTTTCTTTACTATTTGTAATAAAATCATTCACTACAACCTAACTCTTTTGATAACGGTTCAGAAAAAAATTGTTAGTAGATAACATAATAATAAAAAATTCTTGTTCACAGTTGTTCATCTTATTATTTGTTTTATTTAAAAAATAATGAAAAACATTTACCATTTACCTATTTACAATTTTTTTCTGAACCGTAATAGTATAAAATAAATAAAGGAAAGATTAATGGATTGCCTAATAGACCAGGGTCGATAATTTTGAAAATGGTAAAAAGTGAAAAAAAATTATGGTAGGATGAAACCCATTAAAAAAGGACGAGAATATAACAAAAATGAAAGGAAAAATAATTTACGGGCGATCTGAGGTCGGGAAGTGGAAGGGGTGAGTTTTTAAGGGTAAAAAACGGTGTATCTCGATTTCCGGCAAAACTACAAGTCCTATAGAAAAAAATTAAATGACAAAGTTGTAGGTAATAAAGAGACCTACAACTTTTGTGATTACATTTTTTTCACATAACCTCAAAAACTATGTGAAAAATTCAAATAATCAAGTTTTTGGTTTTTAATTTTTATCTTATGCACGAAATTTGGTGACAACTTACCTTTTTATGTCCTAAAGACACTGTAATTTTTTTGATTTGAAATATTTATTTTTTCACCTTATTTTGACTTAATATCGAAAAAACACCCTAATTTTCAATCGAAAATTCTCGCGTAAAAAATTTCAGTTTTTTAAAAAAAATCGAGGAGTTTTTGTTCGTTGAAATCTCTTCTTTCTGATAATGTAAAAAAATAAATAAATTACTGTGGTAAATGTTCTCAGAAAATGCAAAGAAAAGAAAAAACTCCAATCCGAAATTTTTTTTTAATCACTATGTACAATTTTGAGCTATTACTAAAAATTACTAAAAAAACGTAAGATTCTATGTTACATTGATAAAAAATCAGTTACTGTGACAACAGTACCAGCAGCTACTTCAACTAAAAAAGGAGAACGTAGTCGTAGAAAAACCTCAGACAATATTCCAGAGTTTGATTATCAAAACCATTCAAAAATACCATCTCTGCAAGAAAAATTTTTATCTAACGAGAAAAACAAGGACAAAATAATAAGAACGTTAATGAAAAGATTACAGTCACAAGGATTTTCCTGTAAACAAGCAGAAGAAGATGCTGATGCAGACATTATTAAAACTTCGATAGAAATTGCCAGAGATACCAATAAAACTGTCATTGTTGTGGGTCAAGATATTGATCTTTTGGTCCTTTTGAATCAATTAACTTCAAATAATCATGACATTTATTTTCTAAAACTGGTTCTGGAAATGTAAAAGATCTATTTTTCACGTCTAATAGTTTCAAATATGAATCCTTCAAAAATATCGTTGCATTTCTGCATTGTTTTTCTGGTTGTGATACAACATCTGGATTTGCCGGAAAAGGAAAGAAGAGTATTGTAAATTCATTATTAGACGATAAAAATGTGTCAAATTTGGCCAATATTTTTTATAAAAAAGCTGCAAACAAAAAAGATATCGAAAAAAAAAATGGATTACAATTAATCAAATCTAATTATAAATGTAAAAATGATAATATAACACTGAATCAATTAAGATTTCAAAAATATCAATTGGCAAAAATTAAATCATCTTTCATATTGGCAAATCTCCCACCCACAGAAGGTGCAGAACAACATTGTTACAGGGCATATTATCAACTTCAAACTTGGCTAGGTAACGAACTGACAGCAACAGATTGGGACTGGAAGCAACATCAACGTGGGATTATGCCCAAATTTACAGAGAAGGAGTTAATTCCGGAAATATTGCTCAAAACTATTTGCTGCAGCTGTGAAACTGGATGTAACAGTTTAAAATGTGGCTGCCGAAAACATGGCTTAAAATGCACAAATTTATGCTCAAATTGTAATGGTTCTGAAAAATGCACCAATGTGGAAGAAAAACCCTACGAGAAAGTTAGTGATTCAGATGAAATTGTGGATGAAGGACCAATTCAGACTAAAAATAATATTGGATACGAAGACGGTGATGGTCTTGAAGATTTCGAATACCTACTAGAATCGGGAAGGTTTGTCGAATCTAATGATAAAGAAATGCCACCGAAGAGACAAAAAGTAATGGATAAGTGATTAGGGTTCCAGATAAGATTTATAAATAAGAACATTAATGCATTTTAAAATATTATTATGAAGAATAATGATAACAGTATAAAGTATCTAAATTTAATAGTACGATTTACATTTCTATTCATATATTATGAGATTTTCTATGACATAAATGTAATTAGAATTTAATAAATAAACTTTTTGACTAAAAAAAATTGCAACAATCACATTTTTTAATTGAAATCCCCCCTTTAAATCCTATCTTTAATATTTAGAACAACTATTTTCGCATGTTTCTTACAATTTTTATGATTTATGGATTTGTAATTTTTTTGTTTATCAATGTAACATAGAATCTGACGTTTTTCAAATAATTAAAGTGTCAATTTTACTAAATAGCTCAAAATTGTACATAGTGATTAAAAAAAAAATCGGATTCGAGTTTATTTCTTTTCTTTGCATTTTATGAGAACGTTTACCATAGTTATGTATATATTTTTTTACATTATCAGAAAGAAGAGATTTCAACGAGATTTTTTAAAAAGCTGATATTTTGACGCGAGAATTTTCGATTGAAAATTAGGGTGTTTTTTCGATATTAAGTCAAAATAAGGTGAAAAAATAAATATTTCAAATCAAAAAAATTACAGTGTCTTTAGGACATAAAAAGATAAGTTTTCGCCAAATTTCGTGAAAAAAAATTGTTTTTTGCATAAGATAAAAATAAAAAACCAAAAACTTGATTATTTGAATTTTTCACATAAATATTGAGGTTATGTGAAAAAAGTGTGATCACAAAAGTTGTAGGTCTCTTTATTACCTACAACTTTGTCATTTAATTTTTTTTCCATAGGACTTGTAGTTTTGCCGGGAATCGAGATACACCGTTTTTTACCCGTAAAAACTTACCCCCTTCCACTTCCCGACCTCAGATCGCCCGTAAATTATTTTTCCTTTCATTTTTGGTATATTCTCGTCCTTTTTTAACGGGTTTCGTCCTACTATTTTTTTTTGTTTCAAAAGTTATCGACCCTGGTCTATAAGTGTAGGGGTTATATTATGATAAATAAAATGTATTTAAACTAAATAAGCAACAATAGTACAATTTTCTTAATTTTCATATTTTTTGGAAAATAAAAAAAAAATTAAAGATTGCTTTTATCGGGAATTGAACCCTAATTACGAAATGTATGTTGAATGCTTAACTATGTGAGCCATAAACACTTATTTCACATGAGTTATCTAATCAAATATTTGTATTCGCCAGAAAAAAAACATATTATTTAGTTAATTTTAAATTGCCGGAGGATTTCGCAGCAGTCTGCCAGTCTAACGATCATAATATGTATTTAAGAAGGTATCCGAGATAATACATTGTTAAAACGTCAGGTGAAGACAAAAACAAAAATTTCAACATTTCATTCCCGCAATACAACTTGTTTTCTTTATTACCTTGAGTGTAGATTGGAATTTTTTGACTTGCTCTGTTTGCAAGTGGCCCAAATTTATGAATCTGTCAGAGAGAATTTTAAAATCGTCGTAGGATATGACGCCGTCTTTATTCAGATCCAGGATAGAATGGAAAGTTCTGATTTTTCTTCTCCAAAACTCCGATTCACCCTAAAAGAAAAAATATCGAATATTTGAACCAACATAGGACACACTAAGCATATATACCTATTATATAAATATTGTTTTTATTCGAATATGACATAAATAGTCATTTTTCTTACTAGGTATTATGTTATAAGGACGAAAAATTAAGTGTTTCGGGCGACTACGAGAAGTTTACCAGTTTCATACATCATTTTTTATTCGAATGTGCTTATAGAAAATTTAATCCAAAGTGAGTCGTAGTGTTGCTGTTGGCAAACTATTTTTACCCTTTACACATAAAAATCTGACATAAATCATAGAAGAAACAAAGCGACTGAACCTAAACTGAAATTAAAGGTTTTAGAGTATTATTTTGCAAATATTCACTATTTTTAAATTAATTGCAGCTTTGTCCACCCTACATTTAAAAGCAGATGAGATAGTTTCTTACAAATATAAACAACAAAGAAAAGCAAGAAAATTCAAAGAGTTTTACCAAAAGAACATTTTTGAAAAAAGGGTTTGCTACTGGAAGTTTTTGTAAAAAGTAGATACAAATAATTTTGTAAATGAAAAGGGCATGTTGGAGTTGATAAGAAATTTGTAAAGCATTTACGATAAGATATTTGAGTAAAAGGTGCTATCTTTACCTCAGAATTCAGAAATACTCTAAAGTATCCCTTGCTGGGGATTTCAACTTTACAAAAGTGCGCTTTTGGATGATTTATTTAAATACTCCAAATATATGTAATGTTAAATCTCCTCTGTGTATTGTATGTATATAAACACAATGAATAAAACTGTTTTTCTCTAATTGGGTACTTATATTTATAGATTATTATAATAAAACTGGGTTGTTCTATTGTTTTTTTAAGTAAATTATACGTTCATACATCAAATAACTAGAAACTGACAAAATATATTTTTTCTACACCCGTATTATATATATATTATTATATATAATAATGCACTTATATGCCCATAATCCGTTTCATAATGATACCCATTATGATACAGATTTTTCATTACGATACAGATTTTTAATCAATAGAAACCTACAATTTTTCAATCAAGCATGCTGTTTGACGTTTGTCCTAGGTTCCTATGTAATTATTTTAGTTGTCAAAACGTATTAAATTTTCGTAGGTAGCTAAACTTCGATAATTATAATATTAAAATGTCTGATATTAGCGATATAGAAGACTCCTCCACACATATCGGAGAAAGCAGAAAATACAGTACAAAATATTTTACCGCAAAAATCTAGGGAAATACCAATACCTGAAGTAATACCATTAATTACAATTTTGTAGAATTTTTTATAGAAATACGAGTAATTACTGTTATTGTGTTCAATACCAATATAAATATAATATTTATAGGTCTTGATTATTTATCGGGTGTAGAAAAAATAGCGTATGCAACTCTCATGTAATGGTTATTAAAACACTCGCATAAACCATACGAAACTCGCCTTTGGCTCGTTTCGTATCCCGGTTAATGCTCGTGTATTAATAACCATCATTACATGATCGTTGCATAATATACTATTTTATTTCTGATATATATACAGTGTATGTTTCTTCTGAAGTCCAACATGCCCTTGTTTTCTTCTATAAAATTATTTGTAACTACTTTTTACTAAAAACTTCTTGTAGCCAACTCGTTTTTCAATAATGTACGTTCTTTTAGTAAAGTCCTTCGACTTTTCTTGCTTTTTTTTATGTTTAATGCTTGTAAGAAACCATCTCATCTGCTTTTAAATGTAGGGTGGACAAAGCTGCAATTAATTTAATAATAGTGAATGATATTTGCAAAATAATACACTAAAATCTTACAATAGCCTTTAATTTCAGTTTAGGATCAGTTCCTTCATTTCTTCTAATGATTTTTGTCAGATTTTTGTGTGAAAAAAGTAAAAATTCTTTGCCAATAGCAACACTACGGCTGGGCTCCAGGCTTGCCATAATTTTAAAATATTTCGGGATATAAACAAAGTGTGATCCGAATTCAGCTCGGATAATACACACAATAATATTTATAATTTAAATAAAAAGTAATTCATTTGAAATTTGATGGAAATCATTATGATTTTTCCATACTGTTTTGTACCTTGTCTTTAAAAAAATCAAATTACCGATTTTATAAAAACTCCCAACACAGGAATATAGTCCAAAAATAAAAATAAAAATATAAACACCACTAAATATTAATAAAATATTAGATTTTTTAAAAAACTAATGTATAGCAGTAGAATATTTTCTGTCAGCTCCATTTTTCATTCCGTGACATCACTGATGAGGTCATCGTGTTGTCTACGAACCGTGGACCATACCCTTAGGGTATGGTTCGTTATTAACCAAAATATCGGTTACTCGGTCCAAAACTAACCGCTCTGCTTGACATTCCTGAGAAGGCAATTAAATTACGCAGTTACGTGAAAATGGTGACTCAAACGTCAATTCACTAACCGTTATATTTTTACGATTACTATTAAGTCGAATGTCAATCTGTCACAAAAGTGACGAAAATCTCGGCCGTGGTCCAAAGGTAACCAACAAATTAGTTTTTTCAAGAACCACTGTCAAAAAATACTGGTTACTTGCAGTTAGTAGTTCGTTAATATCGGACCATACCCTTAGTTTTCTCTTAAATCAATTAAAAATGTTTTTATTTAAATTAGATCTACATGTGGATTATAGACTACTATTTTACAATAGCAAAAAAATTATCGCCAGCAGTAGGTATTAAAAGGTAAACTGAAAATAAAACGGAATGTTTAGATAGCAAAGTTGCTTTACTTTTGCCGTTATGTTATAGGGACCGTGCGTCATGACTTTAACGCTAACTGGTGACAAAAATGTGAACTTTATGGGGGGTATTTATTAATGTTTTATACGGCATTTATTGTTTAATAATTATTAATTAAATAAAGTCAAATTATTTTAGTAATATCATTATCGAAAAAACTTGTTGCATCCGTGGATGTACAAACACATCACTTTGGAAACCTGGATTTCATTCGATAGTAAATAAATTTTATAAATTTCCACAGATCACAACAATTAATGTCTCACACCCAATGATATACATAATTACAAAGATTGCTTATCCATATGTAAATCAGACGACGAAAAGCGTATTTCACTGGGCAAAGTTTTCTTTTTATCTAGCTTGTATCAATTTTGAGCACTTAGTTGTAAAGAAATCATTTACAGAACCGGTTTAGAAATTAGAACCTTTAGTGTTTTCTTGTCATTAAGATTTTTACATATTTAAATGAACATTTTATATAAATATAATTTTACAGATAATTAATGGTTTATTCTGTTGATTAAAACTAATGTAGAATGTTAATTATGAAATAAGAATGTCCCATTTGACAAAAATATCATGGCCCTCTTTACAATTTATTATTAAAATAAACAAATCATAAATAATACATTGCAATTACTGTCAAAAGAGATTGCAACAAACTTTAAAATATTAAAAATCCAGTGATTTTTTGTAATTTTTTTTTAGTGACATTACCATTAAATATTATTCAGAATAATAGATAAGTGTCCAATTACAACTCTTACCAAAGTTGTTTATACCTCACCTCAAAGTTGTTTACATTACCTTTTCAAAATTGTATTACATATTGCAATTATGTATTTTATGTAGTATTATTTCTGAAATAAGAGTAGTCTAATAGTTAATTATGCAACAAGTGCAATAAACACTTTTTGCACGAGTTGCATACAATATTTTTTCTACGTTCATGCAAAAACCAAAAAATGTTTTATAGGACTGCAGTTCTATTATCCAAATCATAGTAGGCGTGATCGTCTACCTTTGTTTAAGGCATTTATTTACGTTTGTATTCATAATTTGTAATGACATTTTTAATAAAATACATTTTTGTATTAATTTATTTATTAAACGATTGAAAATAATATAAAATATGCAATTGTTTTTAAAACGTACTACAGAAAATGAAAATGGACTAAATATTTGGCGTTGATTTTAATATTTATGTTTGTCATGAATATAAAACGCTGTAGTAAAATTACAGATGAGTGCAATAAATTTTTTATTGCACTAGTGCAATAAAGACCCAGTTTTTTCACTAAATATAGTTCAATAAAGTTTTGTTTTTTGCATGAACGTAGAAAAAATTATTTATATCCATCTGTTATAAAAATTGTTTAGATCTCTTAATATTATTTAACTACATGGAAACTCAACTTTCCAAATACATAATAACATGTCTTGAAGTAAAACTTTAATTATTTTCTTTTTCTAAAGATTAAAATGCTGAAATTTTATTTTAAAACACATTTGGGCTAGAACGGCTCTATTTAGTGAGCACTAAGAAAGGCACATTGCAACCCGCTTTTCATAATTTTTTATAAATGGGTGAGCAATCTATAATATGTATCATTGGACATCTCATAAACGTCAGTGGATGAATGACATTTCGACTAACAAAGCTAAACAGATTTATTATTATTATTATTATTATCAATCTTTTTAATTAATTTACATTTTTTAAATGTTATTGTAATACTTTTAAATTCAGTGTTGCTAAATACCGATATTTTGACATTGGATACACTTGTTTAAGGTACAACTTTACAATTTATTGTCACTTAGCCATTTAAATCTTTTTGCTTAAAATGTATATACATGTCCAGATTTTAATAATGTTTCACATTTTACGTCATTTTGACCATGCACACGATTGTTTGGTACGGGCCGGTATCTATTTTTAACTATATTTAATATTTTAAAAAATATCTTTTATTATTTACTTGCAATGTTTACCCCATTTAATTCTAAAATTGAACACTAGAGAGGGCTAACTTCGGCAGTAGTGCTGCCTCTATATTTCACGCACGGTCTCTATCTGTCCGAAAAATGGGTCCTATGATTGAACGTTTACGTTATCCGTAACCTTAGATTAGGTCGTATGATTGAACGTTTACGTTATCCGTAACGTACATGTTAGGCCGAGTTTTAACAGTAACGAGACAAGTTCG